CGGACCCAGCGCTGGGAAGGAGGCAGCACCCAGGTCCGGTCGCTGACCCTCCGTTTCTCAGGTTCGTGGAGGCGGCTCCTTGACCACCAGGGGGAGTAATTGCACCACCTCGAGGACCTGGGGCGGTTTCACCCAACGACAAAGGGCCGCGTAGAACTATGGGAATTGTAGTCCTAGGGAATGCGCGCTCTTGCACGGTGCACCACGGGAGTTGTAGTTCGGGACAGAAAGGCAGGAAATGCTTTTAGGCACCAATGTTGAGTTCTAGAAACTACAACTACCAAAGGGCCCTGGGCTCCTGGGCAGTTTCTCATTTCCGTCAAGGTGACTGTTTGGGCTGCTTCTGAGAGGTCAACTTGACTGGGTAAGTTTGGTAGGGGAAAGCTCCGGTTCTGAACTGCGATGTCTGCAGACTTTTTCATATCCCCGCCCGGTTGGGGCGCCTCGTCTCGTCCCAGGAACTTCACGTCCCTCTGTCGTCCTTTCTGGTTTCTATTGAGACGCCTCCAGTAGCCACCCACACCCTTAGCGCTCCAGCCTTCGCTCCCGGCGCCCAGCTCTCTCGTCCTAGGACCCAGCCCCGCACCCCCACCCTGAGCCCACGGCTTCAGCTCCCTGGAACCTGGCTAAATGCTCCACACCTTCTATGTGCTTCACTATTACCTTCACTTTGCTTTTTTCATGCCAGTGGAAGAAGGCTCGCCATTACTTCTCAGCCGGGGACAAGCCCAGGCAGGGCTGGAAGTCAGCAGACCCGGCTTCTAGTCCAACTCTGCGGCTCGCTGGCTGTGTGAACTGGGGCAAACCCTTACTTCTCTGAGACTCACTTTCTTCATCTACAAATTGGAGGTGGCAGTTGCTCGGTCACTCTCAGGACGAGGCTGTGTTGTGCTGCCAATAAGCTAATCATATGTGTGACAGTGCTGTGTAAACTGTAAAGCCTCCACAAGCGGGAGAGATTATTTTTATTAGAATTATTAATGCTCTGGAACCATCTTACCTTGGCTCCTTTTTTAGCTCTGCCCCCTTGTTGCTCAAGCCTGTCCCCTGAGTGCTTGGTGTCTCCATTCTCTAAGAGCGGGATGATATTTCCTCACTTCCTCCAGAGACCAAAGGTCAGGCTAATGAGCTTTGAGTCTCCAGAGAGCTTTCCCTGAAAAGCAGCTCCAAAGAAGTGCTTATCTTGGACTCTGTCCTGAAATAGCCAGTGATGAGAAGGCCACACAGCTGGTAGAGGGGGGTTTCTGCTCCCTGGAAACAGGACCTCAGCAAGAGAGGGACAGCTGCAGCCTGAGCCCTATCTGCCCCCTCCAGGCTCTTCTGGGCCTGCTCAGTAGATTGCCATTTTGGTAGGTATGTCTCAGGCTGGAAAAGGCTGGGAGGAAAGAATCCATTTTGCTAAAGAGATTAATCCAGAAAAAAATCAAAGAGATCATGGCCTGGAATGATAAAAGAGAGACATAGCATTGTTAATTCCTAACATTTTATGAGCACTTAAAATGTACCAGGCCCTAGGCAATATCAATTTTCTTATTTAAATTTTACTATGCCCCCATTTTACATATAAGGAACTTAGGCTCAAAGAGGTCATGTTGGTTATAATTATAGTTAGAGCTACCATCTATGGTTATAGTGCCTTCTATATGTTAGGTGCTTTACATATATTATTTAATACTCATCTACAACTTCATGAGTGATTGTTATTATTTCTATCATGTGGATAAATTATCAGAGGCTTAGAATTTAAGGAACTTGCTCAGGATTACACAGCCAATTCAGTGGCAGAGGTGGAATTCAGATTTCACCAAAGCTTTTCTTTTCTCACTATAACATATAGCCATATTTTTAGATAAAAAGACAGAGATTAGAGAATTGAGAGGATTTAAATCAGGCCAAAGAAAGGAACATTTATTGGGTCCCTACTATGTGGAGAAAGCATGAAGATAGGTGGTTTGGCCCACAAAGAAGTACAAAACACAGTCTTTACTTCTGTAGTATATCTGAACAGATAAGGCATAAGTGTGTAAAAAATTAAATAGCATTTATTGGATAAATTGATTATTAAGACATTATTGCTGTGTACTGCATTAAGCCTAGTGAGTGGCAGGAATATGCTTCTGGTGGCCATGGGATTAAGTCAAGTGAAATAAGTCATTTCATTAATATGAAAATGAACTGGGACACCGAGTGGAAATGGTAAAATGGAACACTCAGTAAATGTCTGAATTAAAGAAAAATCCTGTATATCACCTGAACTAGAGGTTCTAAAACCTTGCTGATCAGAAACACTTGGGAAGCTTTTAAAAATTACCTGGGAATGGGGTTCCTAAAAATCTATATTTTTGGAAAGTTTCCCAGATGATTGCAATGATAGGTTCAGGAACCTCTGATCTGGATTCTACCTGGACCACGTGTAGGCAAGTCACTGACTGAAAACTGCTAGAATAGGTACTAATCTAAGAACTGCCATAAGGCAGCCTGTGATTGGTTACGGGGGTGGGGGGGTTTGGGATGCAGACAATGCCTAGAGTTGATAGGAGGAAAGGTTAGAAGGACTTGGGAAAGCTTTAGAGAAGACCGGGGATTTCATGGGATCTTGATGAATGGGGCTGGTTTGATAAGGTGGAGGGTCTTCTAGGCACCACCATGAATTGTTTAGGTAAGGTGAGCAAAAGAAGGTAGAGCTACCTGGGCTGATTTCCTTGGAAAATTCCATAGCATTTACTAGAAATGACTCTGGATGCTCTGTGTGGATGTTTTTTAGGCAAAATTTGCATGTCAGATTGGATTTTTCCATCTCCCCCTTCTACTTGGGCATTAGTCGATGTGAGCCCAGCGAATGCAGATTCATTTTCATGTTAGCTTCACTGTGGCCAATTAGCTTCTTTCGTTTTTATTTATTTCCAAACTTAATTTAGTTGATAACCTTCCTAGGAACTTTCCAGGACTTCTAGAGGGTTCTTCTCCTTCTGTTTAGCTGTTTGTAAGTCTACTCATCCTGATTCCAATGCCAAGCACTGTTCTCTGGGGTAAGACCAACATCTCTTCCCATAAGAAGCTGCTATCATTCTAGCCAATTCTGGAAACCCGGCTCATCGTTGGCTCTTCCCTCTCCCTTCACTCCTCATATCCACTCAGTTGCCAAATCTTATTTCTACTTTTCACTCAATCAACAGATATTTCCTGGATATTTCCTGAGAGCCAGGTACTACGCTAGGTGCTTCAAATGCATTATTTCATTTATCTCCGTAGCAACCCTATAAAGATGGATAGTATTCTCATTGTACAGACGGGGACTCAGGCTTAGAGAGATCGATAACTTGCCCAAGGTAAGAAAGCTAGGCAGCAAAGGAGCTAGGGCTCAGGCTTGGGTTTTTCATCTCTCTATATCTACAACCTCATTTGCGGAGCTGATTCCAACTCCTTAATCTAGTGCTGGAGAGACTGCTACCCTCCAAATCTGATCACACCTCCCGCTGCTCCCCTGGCATCCATTACTGACTACTCATTGTTTCTCACGTGTGCTTTCTTACCTTTGCCTTTGCTCACACTCTCTTCTACTTAAAAGTCAACTTTTTCCACCTTCCCCTCCACTCCCGAGCTAAAGGAGCTCTCTTTCTTAGAACTCCTTCAGTATTTTACCTGACCCTCTTTTATGGCAGTTAGAACTTTCCAGTTTTTCACTGTCATGTGGGTGACACGTGTCTTGTGCCCTGTGTAGGTCTTCCTTTTGTATGGTTAACAACAAGGGGAAAGGGCAGGGTCTGGACTAAGCGGCATGTATTCAGTTTCACTGGCTAAACAGTCCACTGACTGCATCAGGAGCTTAGCTTAGCTTCTTAAAAAGAATGGGATTTACTTTTGTTTTATTTGCTTATTTATTTATTTTTATCCCGAGGATATTTTTTCCATTGCTTTTCAGAGAGTGGGGGAGAGAGAAACACATCGATTGGTTGCCTCCCACATGCACCCCGACCAGGGCCGGGGATGGAGCCTGCGTCCGAGGTACATGCCCTTGGCTGGAATTGAACCGGGGACCCTTCAGTCCTCAGGCAAGCTCTCTAACCACTGAGCCAAACCGGCTCGGGAAAATTGGGTTTACTTTTAAATTTGTTTCAGAGAAACAAAAGAAGTCGAGTAGAAAGAAAATCGTTTATTATCTCCCAAAGTTAAGTAGAATGACATTAGGATTATTGGTTGTTTGGGGTTTTCCACTAGACGAGACAGCTGGCAATCAGATCTATGTGTAATAATAGTTCTGCTTGTGACCTTCAGGTGTTCACTTAATCATGTAGGACCTTGGTTTCTTCATGGAGAAAGCACATGTATGTACTGGGCCGGTGGGGAGGTGAGGGGCGGGCACAGATGATTGCGGGGAGGACTAACAGAAACGATCCCTAAGGACTCTCCCGCCCACACATGCTTTGACTTGAATTCTCTGATCCATCTCAGAGTGTCTTAGAGAAAGCAGAGTAATGTAATGATTAAAAATGTGGGCTTAGGTCTCCGTGTATCAGTTTAGATGCTTTTGGTTCAGGCAATAGAAATCTAAACTCAGTTGGTTTAAAGAAAAAAGGGGATTTATTGACTTATATTACTAGAAAGTCTAGGATTGGAGCAGGTTTCAGATGTAGTCTAATCCAGATTCTTAATATCTTCACAAACATGACTCTATTTCTCTGATTCTGTTAGCTCTGCCGTCCTCTGCAGGTAGCTTCATCCTCAAGGTAGCAAAGTGGCTGCAACAGTGAAGCTCAGGGCTTCATTTCTGCATTTTCACTCTAGTTCAAAACAAGAGCTTTTCCACCCTCCACCATCAAGACAGTGCCCTGGGCTCTCCTCTGACTGCACCAACCTATGCCACGTATCCACTCTTCATCGGAGTACTGACCAAGGGATACCAAGGGCTGATTGGCTCAGGTCAATTAAGGCCCAGCTCTCAGGTTAGGGATGGGTCAGCCACAACCAGATCACAAAGCTGCTGTGTAAGAGGGCAAGACAGAATGGCTACTGAGGAGTTCAACGATGCTCTCCACAGTTACAGCCGTGTTGCCCACGATCACACTCTGGCTCTGCTAGCTGTATGTTCTTGGGTAAATTACCTGACTTTCTCACGCATCATTTTCCTCTTCTGTAAGAGAACAGTAAATATCTCAGGATTGTTGAAAGGATTCAGTTAAATAATTCATGTAAAGCACTCAGTGTAGTTCCTGGCACAGAGTAAGTGTACTGATGGTGGTGCTGGTGCTGGTGAGAGTGAAGAGGGGTAGGGAGCAATGGCATTGGCCCCGTGTAGGAAGCAGCCAAGTGACAGGAATGTTTTCTAGTCAGAAGCATGCACAGCTTCCACGTTGAAGGCTCCTGTTGGAGCTGCTACTCTGTCATACTCTTTCCTATCTCTGCCCTGTTCTGCTCTTATATTATGTCCTGTCTAGAAATGCTTCCCTTTTTCTTCCTTGCCTCTATGTCTTCCTCATATTTCAAGGCCCACCATAAGTGCCACCTCTATAGTCAATAGTTTAGGTCATTGATTTTGTAATTATACAGTTGGCCTTTGAGCAATGTGGAGGGTTAGGGGTACCAACCTCTCACGCAGTCGAAAATCCATGCTTAACTTTTGACTCCCAAAAACTCAGCTACAGTTGTGCCTCAGTATCTGCAGGGGATTGGTTCCAGGGCCGCCCTCCCTTCCCCCATGGACACCAAGATCCACAGATGCTCAAGTCTCTCATATAAAATGGCGTAAAACAATGCGTACAGTTGGCCCTCTGCATCTGAGGATTCCCAAGCACAGATAGAAAATGCTGTTTTTGATCTGTGGTTGGTTGAATCTGAGGATACGAAGCTCAAGAGAAATGGAGGGCTGACTGTCCATTTATTGAAAAATATCCATGTGTAAGTGGACCCATGCAGTTTAAATCCATGTTCAAGGATCAACTGTGTAACACGAACAGGATCAGTAAGGGTTAAGAGCTCAGGTCTAGATTAGGCAGCCCTGGGTTTTGCCACCTGTAAGCAGTGTGACTTGGGACAGTTATTCAGCCTCTCTCTACCTTAGTTTCCTCGTCTCTAAAACAGGGTCTTAATAATTAAGTACCTTCTTCAGAAATTTGTTGAGCAAATGAAATGATATAGTATATGTAAAGATCTTAGTTCAGTGCTGACACAGTGAATAATAGATCTAAGGAGTTATTATTCTTTGCCTCATGAGGACAAGGTCTGTTATATTTTCTGCAGCAGTTACTGCTGTGCTGGGCCCAGAGTAAACACTTATTAGTGGGTTTTGAGGAGCATGGAAGCGATCTCGGCTCTTCACAGAAGTCTTCTCCCCTCCTCCCCCCAACAACAAAAAAATCACCCCTAAACCTTGGCACAGGCAGTGTAGCAAAGCAGATGATGTGGAAGGTTGAATGAGTCACACTGGCAGGGAGGCTGGGGTGATAAGGAGGGGCGGGCGGGGTGGCAGATAACACGTGCATGCAACAGGAAGCTAAGAGGGAACCAGCAAGTGGCTGTTCTGCGTTCTCCCCTCCAGCTATCAAGATCAGCACTGCCCAAGTCATTGTCCGATTCAACTGGTGATGAGATGGGGGTCAACCAGTCCGTGGGCTTTCCACCTGTCACAGGGCCCCACCCCGTGGGCTGCGGGGATGTGATGGAGGGCTGGAGTCCCCAGGTAAGTGTCTACACCTCCATCCCTGCACATCTGCACTGCTTCTGCCTGCACTTATGGATAAGTGCACTGGGACTTATGGATAGCCAGTCTGGTGGTGTAATTCCAGGTGGGGGAAACTGAGTTAGAGCTGGTCTGGATTTGGCTATAGAGCTCCTGGATCCCTCTTCCCTGACCTTTCCCTTCCTCCTTCCAATTAGGAACCTCTCAATAGAGATGGTGGGTTCTTTTTCCAGCTAGAAGAAAGGGGCTCTGGCTTCAAAGGCAGCTTTCAGATCCTTTCTTCCATCTTGAGAGCAGATGCATGATCCTGGAAAGGTTTTTGATCTCACAATAATGTGAGTGTCCAAGAGGAAGAGCAGTGGACCATGTGCTATTGGCATGTGACTCCCAACCTGGATGGGAAGACAGTTTCTTTTTCCTCTCCTGCCTTCACTTGTTTTTCCCTCCTGCTTTGGTTCCAGACTTTTCCTCCATCACTTCCTCGGTCCCCCGCTGGCCCTTGGACTCCCTTCTCTTACCTACTCCTGTGTAAAAGGAGTGTGCTGCTGCTTCCCAGGAGCCAGTCTGGAGGTGACCCATCGATGCCACCCCATTCAGCATGAGCGCTAACCTCTCACTCCTGGGGTTCCTCCAGGCCTGAGCTCTGCCAGGTTTAAATCTTTCAGTGTCCCAAGTACTGAAAATATTTTGGTGCCCTCCAGATGTAATACAAAATACAGTTGGCTATTTGAAATAACGTAAGCCCTATGTGTATTCTAAAAATAAAATTGCTTCTTTCTGGATTTTCTGAATGCAAAATTCAGGTATATGAATTGAAGCTAAAATTTTCCCATTTTGGTGCCCCAAACACCTGCTGAGCGTGTCTTTTGGGAAACCTAGCAGTGCTGGGGCCTCTTGCTGTGAGGAGCTGCTCTCTTCTTTCTTACAGGGGAGCTTCTTTCGACTCTTCTACCCCTGCCAGGAGGCAGAGGAGACCACGGAGCAGCCCCTGTGGATTCCCCGCTACGAGTACTGCATGGGCCTGGCCGATTACCTGCAGTTTAATAAGCGCTGGGGGGGGTTGCTCTTCAACCTGGCTGTGGGTAAGAGCTGGCCTCACCCCTAGAGGTTTCCACAACTTCTTGGTTATGTTCCTAGGAGGTCCCCAGGTAGACACGTACCTTGCAGCTTGCATTGCCTCGCTCTTTTGTAGTGGGGCATCCATTAGCCAGCACAGTGTGGAGAGTTGGGAGAGAATTATATGGTAAGAACTTTTATCATAGAGTTAGGTTGTCCTGGATTTGTATCCAGACTTCATAATTTACTAGCTGTAGGGCTTGGGCAAGTTATGGAACCTGCCTGAATACCTGCCTTTGCAGGTTTCTAGTTTGGGATGTATGCAAAGCCTCTAGTGCAGTGTTTGAGACAGAATGCATTCCATCAATGGTGGCTAGCCCTCATTTATTTGGTGTGTAATTCCCACTCCGTGCCAGCTGTGTAGATCAAGGAAACATTCTTAACTGCCAGAAAGCATCCTGTCTCCTGCGGTTTTCCTTCCAGCTCTCTCCTCTTCTGGGTAGGGTCACATTGAATCATCCACTCCCTCCAAAGACGCCACCTTTAAGAACAATACCCACTGCCCTGGCATCTCAGGGATTTACCCCTTGCTTGTTCAGTACTTCCCATTTGGATGTATCTTCCCATTTTCTACTGTGTTCATGCTTTTTAGGGAAAAAAGGGGGAAAGAAAAGATGATTGGTTGTCCTGGGCTGCTCAGTGGTAGATGGTGGTCCTCCAAAAAGGAGGGACGTGTGTTCCCACACATGCCTGTGCCCAGGCTGCCCTTGGGATTACAGTTTTGGGGCAGCCAGAGATTCTATAGCCCTTGTTTCTGTTAGGGTCTTATCGCCTGCCTGTCAGCTGGAATGGCCCCTTTAAGACAAAGGACTCTGGATACCCCTTAATCATCTTCTCCCATGGCCTGGGAGCCTTCAGGTAAGAGCTTTTTTCTCTTAGACCTTGTCATATTCCTTGCCTGGTGACAGCTGCTGAGTCTTACTCTCAAAGGGCAAGGAGACATTTCCACCGGCTGTCGTACCTGCCTGGTGCCTCATTCCATAGCACTGGGTCCACCTTCTCCTGAAGGCCTTTCCCAAGCTCCTCACACCCGGGAGCCTCTCAGCAGCCCTCACATCCTTCGCTTCTCAGGTTCCAGCATTTATACAAGTCAACACTTTTGGCTTTCTTCCTACATAGCAGCACAGACGTATTAGAAGGAGCTTGAGCTTTATAGCCAGAGTCATGTATCCCACGTGTGTGATGACTGTGCGGACACAGCAGCGAGTGACAGACTCACTTCCTGCCCCCGAGGAGCTCGCAGCCTCCCCCGCAGGCCCCGACCATGGCGCCTGTGCTGTGTGAGCCTGGGCAGTTGAACTCCGCGCCTAGGCTCGGCGTCTGTCGGATGGGGATGCTGCTCCCACAGGGCAGTTTGTGAGGATTCGGTGAGACTGACCTAGTAGGGGCACACACACTCAGTTTCCGTTTCCACCTGGAGGAACATGGGCTGGTGAACTGTAAGATCTCTTTTACCAGACTTCAGAGACTCTGGCCTAAGTTTTGTAAGTGTCAAGTCAGAATTCTTTCCATAAATTCTGATTTCTACACCTTGGTGTGTTATTTAGCTTAATAACTGTAGTACGTATGTTTCTACTTAAAGTTGTGAATGTTTTCTGTGTTCATTCATGAACGTGTAAGTCTAGTTTATGTCCCAGAATCTTGTGCATCTCAAAGCCGTCTATTTTTGCCTCCCTAACCCCCAAACCACTGTATACTGTATAGCTGGGGGGATCTATTTTAATACCAAATATGATCTTATTCCAGCATCTAGAACAGTGGCTGGCATATTGTAGGTGCTCAGTAAATATTTATTGAATGAATGAGGGAACTTTTCTACTTAAATGTTTTTAATAGCCCTTTGAACTTAATTCAGCTCTTTTCATGGCCTTACCTGGAGGCAGGTCCTAGACAGTTTCCAGCCTCATTTCTTGCTCCTTGCCCCACTCCAGCTCTCCAGACAAACTGACCTTCTTTCGCTGTGCTATTTTCTGCCTCAGGGTTTTCCTCTGTGCCATGCTTTGTGGCTGTTCCCTTTGCCTGGAATATACGCTTTCTTTCTTCTTTCTTCGCCTTCCCCCTCTTTTGCCTAGCTAATTCCAGATTACCTTCAAGGTCTTAGTTTGGATGTCACTTAGTTAGGGCCATCCATCCTGACTCCTGCATTGTGTTAGTTTAAGTTTTCCAGTAGTGTGCTTTTATAAGAAAACATATACATCTCAGTACTCACCATAATTGTAACAGATTAACTGTCTATGATTATTCTTTAGTGCCAGTCTTTCCTACTAGTTCATAAACTCCATTAAGACAGAGACATGTCTGTCTTCTCTCTCCCAGGGCCTAGAGCAGTACCTGGATAGTAGTTGTTTCCCAATAAATATTTATTGAATAAATACAAGGGCTATGTTTTTTTGGGTTCTCATTCATTCAGAAAATATCTGTTGAGCACCTGCTCTGTGCCAGCCTCTTGGCATGAGAAGAAGGTGAGACATACAGAGGTAAACAGAACAAGGAACTCACAGCCACTAGAGGAGCCTGAACATGGACTCATGTAACTGTAGCCATGGCAGGAAGTGGAGAGTTGACCCGAGATGAGGGTAGAAACACGAGTAGATGGTTTTCAACTTTGCTTTCTTACTCAATAAATTTAGTGTCTGCTATGTGCCAGGCCCTATGCTGGGGTTGGGTGCTTAGTAGCGTGTAAGATAAGAGTGCCTGCCCTTGGAAGGACAGCCTAGTGGAGAAAAGAAGCTGAAACCTTCTCTCCTAAGTTCACAGGCATTTTATATAGACCGCAGGTGAGCACATGACTTTGGAGAGTGGTATTTTTGGTGTAAGCACCTGTATTGCAACTTCACACCTCAATAGACCTGGGTGAGCCAGTTATAAATACTATTCATTAACCAGAGCAAAATTCCAAGAAAAGTGGAGTAAAAGGGATGTGGTTTCCTTTCACGGTTTCTGAGGTTAATTCAGGCTCTGAATTCCTTCCCATGGATCATAGACTTATGGCTTCCCACCCCAGGGAAGGGTGTGTGCATTTAAACACCACCTAACCGTTTGCAATGCGTCATTATCTCCTTTGGTTTCCACACAGTCCTTTGGGAGAGGTAGAGGGGCTGCATATTTTATAGAGGAGCAGGCAGGCTCTGAAAGGCTTATTTGCCCAAGGTTACACAGTGTGAACTAGAAAGGAATCGAAATCTCTCTGGCTCTTATGTCCAGTTCATGTCTCCCAGGAGAAAAAGAAACTTAAGAAACTGACCTACGCGGCCAGGTGTGGCTCAGCGGTTGAGCATCAGCCTAGGATCCAGGAGATCGAGGTTCGATTCCCAGTCAGGGGACATGCCCGGGTAGCGGGCTCCATCCCCAGTCGGGAGTGTGCAGGAGGCAGCCGGCTGATCCATGACTCATCACTGATGTTTCTATCTCTCCTTCTCCTTTCCTCTCTCTGAAATCAATAAAGATATATTTAAAATATTTATATATATATCTTTATCAATTTCAGAGAAAGGAAGGGAGAGGGAGAGATTGAAACATCAATGATGAGAGACTCATTGATCGAGCCCGCAACCCGGGCATGTGCTCTGACTGGGAATCGAACCCGGATCGCCTGGATCCTAGGTCGACGCTCAATCGCAGAGCCACGCCCGGCCGGGCAATAAAGATATATTAAAAAAAAAAAAAAAGAAAGAAACTGACCTCCCTGAATTAGTTAGGATTTGGAGAACTTGTATTTAATAGAAAACCCCCAAATAATAGTCACCTAAGCAACACTGATTTCTTTCACAGATAAAAGAAAGCTAGAAGTAGACAGAGCTGATACGGTATTTCTGCGAAGTTATAAAAGCAGACTTCCTTTGTAATCTTGCTCTGCCATCATGGTGGCTTCCATTTCTAAGGATATCTCGTGACTGGGGTGGCTGTTTTAGCTGTAGCCATTATGTGCACTTTCCAGGCAATAGGAAGGGACCACTTTCCTTTTTAAGGAGATTTCCTGGAAGTTCTCTATAACACAACTGCTTACATCCCATTGCTAGAGCTGCTCTGTCCATTATAGTAGCTTCTAGCCTACATGTGGCTATTGAACATTTGAGATTTGGCTGGTCCACACTGAGATATGCTGTAAATATGACATACACACAGGAGCCCTAGCCGGTTTGGCTCAGTGGTTAGAGCATCAGCCCTCAAACTGTAGGTTCCCAGGTTTAATTCTGGCCAAGGGCACGTACTTCTGTTGCAGGCTCGAACCCCGGCCCCGATCAGGGCACGTGCGAGAGGCAACCAATTGATGTGTCTCTCTCACATCGATGTTTCTCTCTCTCTCCTCACCTTCCTCCCTCCCTTCCTCTCTCCCTCCCTTCCACACTCTCTGAAACGCAATGGAAAAAGTATCCTCAGGTAAGGATTAAAAAAAAAAAGAAAGAAGAAATACACACTGGATTTCAAAGACTCATATTGGAAAAAAAGTGATGAAATACTACATTATTTTTAAAAATTTTGATTGTTTTTGAAGTGATCATGTTTGGCTACATTGGGTTAAATATATTATTAAAATTAATTCCACCTGTTTCTTTTCAGTTTTAAAAATATATCTACTAGAAAATTTTATGTTACTGAAGGTAGTAGTGTGCTTCTGTTGCTGGGCTAGAGCTTAATCATACAGGCAAACCTGGCTGTAGAGGAGGCTGGGAAATGTCTTGTTTTGATGTGATGACAGTGTCTTTAGCTGAAAATCAGATTCTTTTATTTAGGAGGGAGGGGAAAAGGAGTTTGGAGTGGGCAGTTAGCAGTGTCTGCCATATTCCTCTTATTTCCCCCCAATATGTTTTTATTGATTTCAGAGAGAGGAAGGGAGAGGGAGAGAGAGATAGAAACATCAATGATGAGAGAGACTCAGTGATCGGCTGCCTGCTGCGCGCCCGCTGCTGCGGATCGAACCCACAACCTGGGCATGTGCCCTGATCGGGAATTCAGCCCTGATCTCCCGATCTCCTGGTTCATTGGCTGATGCTCAACCTCTGAGCCACACCGGCCAGGCCATATTCCTTTTTTTTCTGTAAAGTTGGAGGAGAGACAAAAACTTCACGTGCTAAATCACAGGTGCATATTTGCATATTAAAGAAATAGCCGGAGTCCCTGTCCTCAAGGTGCTCACCCACTAATTTGGGAGACATACAATATAACAATAAAAATGCAATTGTTGAAGTAGCCAAACTGTGTTGTGGGGTTTGGGGTGGTGTGTGTGTATGTGGAGATGAGAGTCAGCGTACAGGGTTGGAAAACACCGTGGGTTGATTTGCCCGTACTTCCTAGAGGAGGGCACGTGGAGCCTTGGTGAGAGCAGGGATGTTCTGGCTGGAGAAAGCACCTTGAGAAGGGCAGCTACAAACTTCCTTCATTCAGTCTTTTGAGATGGTCACTAGCAGAGAATGGTTAGAATGGGGGCTAAGGGTGGGCCATTTTTCTGATCACTTTTCTCCGTTCCTTCCTGAATTTCCAGGACACTATATTCAGCCTTCTGCATGGAGCTGGCCTCCCGTGGCTTTGTGGTGGCTGTGGTAGAGCACAGGTGAGGATGACAGTCACAGTGATCTATCGTGGATTGGGTGTCTGCAGTGGGCTAGGATATAGGCTAGTCCCTAATCCTCACAACCACCAGGCAAGTATCATATCCTTTTTTATTTTAATTAATTAATTTTTTAAAATGTGTCTTCATTGATTTCGGAGAGAGGAAGGGGGAGAGAGAGAGAGAGAGAGACAGACAGACAGGAACATCAGTGATGAGAGAGTCGTCATCAACCGGCTGCCTCCCGCATGCCTCCAACCAGGGATCGAGCCCGCAACCCGGGCATGTGCCCCGACTGGGAATCGAACCACGATCTCCTGGATCCTAGGTCAACGCTCAACTGTTGAGCTACGCCCGGCCGGGCTCATATCCATTTTAAATGTGAGGAAGCCAAGGTTCAAGGATGTTAAGTAACTTGCTGAAAGTGACACAGCTGAGTTTGGGTTCACGCCTGGTCAGTTTCCAAAATCCATGTTTTTTTCTACTCTCCTATGCATGTCCCCAGATTTTTGTCCCTATTGGACAAAGGATGATCCAGAATGTCTTGACTGAAAAGGAAGATTTGGTAAAGGGGAGAAATAAGCTCAAGAGTATCTTCTAGTTTCTCTCTGGTGGCATGTGTATTTCAGAGATGGGTCAGCTGCGACCACCTGTTTCTGCAAGCAGGCCCCAGAAGAGAACCAGCCCTCTCATGAGTCGCTGGAGGAGGAATGGATTCCCTACCGCCCAGTTAAGGAAGGGGAGAAGGAATTTCATGTTCGGAATTGCCAGGTAGGCTTGTGCCAGTTGGGGAAAAAGAATTAATAAGCCGGTTCTCCCCATACTGCATTCACTAAGAAGACTTATCTTCTCTCTTGAAGTCTGTGTCTTGGTGAGTCTGAGCTTGCCACATCAGTAGGGAGAAGTAGGGTATTAATCAAGACTCCATATAATTGCAAGTGACAGAAACCCAATTTAAGCTTGCTGGACAAAAATAATCGATCAGCTTATGTAAGCAGACTTGTAGGAAGGGCAAGACCACTGGAACCAGACGCAAATGTCAGCAGGACTTGTTTCTCTTTTTCTTTTTTTTTTTAAGACTTGTATTTCACTCTCATCCCTGTGTCCTCTGCCAGTTGGTCTCATTTGCAAACTGGCCTACTTTATGAAGTTAGAACCACAGTTCTTGACAGCTCTGAGCTTGCATATGTTTGACCTCGCCATCTGAGAGAATGGGACTGTTTTGAGGTTGCTCCCCCAGTCCCCCCACCCCTGCCCCAAGCTGCAGTGAAAAATCCTGGAGAGAGACTCCTGGGCTGGGGAGAAGTACCAAAGTGGGAAGTTCCCATCAGAAATACATTGTTAGATTTTTTTTTTTGCAGGGTGAGGGGGCAATCTTCCAAGGCAGGGTTAACAGAAGTGGAGCTCGTAAGTGCTAAGCAGAGGAAAACAGTAGATGTGGGCAATAAATGAGCAAGAAGAATCCAGTACTGGGTCGATAATAAGAGCACCCTTGTTTCCTTTTGTTTTCAAAACACTTTCATATACGTTGTCTTATTTGGTTCTCCTGACAACCCCCTGGGTAGGTAGGTAGAGTGTGAACAGCAGGTCCGACTCCATTGTACCGCTAGGTGACGCTTACATGAGCTGCTGAGGAGCTGAGTGAGCCCTTCTCGGCATGTGGGGCCCACAGTGCTTGCTGAGATGTGGGCAAGCAGACTACCCTGCATTCCTCCTGGGCTCTGTAGGGGAGTGAGTTTCTCGCCGGATGGTTTGTGCGGTGTTCCAGCTCCCACTGGGCCTGTCTCTTGCAGGTGCATCAGCGGGTAAACGAGTGCATACGGGTGTTGAGGATCCTGCAAGAGGCCACTGCAGGGAAGACTGTCCTCAACATCTTGCCTGATGGGTTGGACCTGAAGACCTTGAAGGTATGAGAGTAACTAGTATGAGCTGAGCTCATGTGTTCATCAGGACTTTCTTGGTTATACAGAACAGGAACCTACCTAACTTACTAGCTTAAACCAAAAGAGACTGTATTGGCTCAAGGAAGTAGGAAGACCAAAGGCAGGCTCTTTTTGAGCCAGTGTAGTTAGATCCAGTGTCTTAAATGTTGCCATCAAGCTCTGGCACTCCTCTTCCTTCTGTCTCAGTTCCATCCCGTGTATGAAGGCTTCATTCTCACCAGAATCTCTCCATTAGGCAAGAAAGATAGTTGCTGGTTGCCCAACCCTGCATGTCAGCTCAAGTCCAGATTTAAAAGGAAAAGAGACTGTTAGCTTCCACTAATCTGGGGAAGGCTGTGGCCCTGCTTGGGTCGCATGCCCCTCTGGGCCAATCACTGTGCCAGAGAGATAGGGTGACCTGATTCGCCTGCCTAGGTTACACACCCACTTCTCACAGCCCCACAGGACCACAGTGATGAGGGAGAGATGGTCCCTTCCCCAGAGGAAGGGCTGTCCAGCAGCAAAACCACCTATGTTCCGGGCAGACTAATTCCTTTCTTTGAGGGAACCACAAAAATCCCCAAGAGGATAGAAGCTGCCCTGGCAGCTTGGTGCCTATTAGGTACATTTTCCTCCCCAACCCAGTCTTTTCCCCTCTGATTTCAAAAGTAGCTCAGGGTCTTTAGAGAACTAAGAAATCACACAAAAGCATAAAGAAAAAATAAACAAATACTTTTTTTTGACATGGTAATGTTTGTCCTTTTAAAATTCCAGTTCTTTTAAAATGAACACACATAGACACACATATATGAAAAACTAATGTTATTTACTACAAGCTGTTCTGTGGCGTTTTTCTACACTTAGCAAATATATATAAAATAAGAATTACTGCTTTATGAGTACTTACTATGTGAGAGCAGCTCACACAAATATATGCAGTAAGCACTGTTATCTCTTCACATAGAAAGAAACCAGAAATCAAAGAGTTTCTCTTCCAACGTTATACAGCTAAGTAAGTGGTAGAGTTAAAATTTAAATTGGGCCCGGCCGGGCGTGGCTGAGCGGTTGAGCATCAACCTACGATCCAGGCGATCGGGGTTCGATTACCAGTCAGGGCACATGCCCGGGTTGCGGGCTGCAGCCAATCAATGATTCTCATCATTAATGTTTCTATCTCTCTCCACCTCCTTTCCTTTCTCTGAAATCAATAAAGATATATTTATTTTTTATTTTTATTTATTTTTAAAAAATATATCTTTATTGATTTCAGAGAGAGGAAAGGAGAGGGAGAGAGAGAGAGAGAAACACCAATGATGAGAGAGTCATTGATCGAGCCCGCAACCCGGGCATGTGCCCTGACTGGGAATCGAACCCCGATTGCCTGGATCCCAGGTCGACGCTCAACCGCTGAGCCACGCCTGGCCGGGCAATAAAGATATATTTTTAAAAAAAAATTTAAATTGGGACTTTTGGATCCTCAAAGACTGTGCTGTGTGCCCCAAAGCCTCTTTAGAAAATATCTTTTAAAGGCTCTGGTAGTCTTCCAGCGAGAGGCACCTGCCTAGATGGCCAGTAGGTAAGGCAGAACCTGGGGTCTGGTGTGCTTTGTCAACCCCCACCAGGTAAGCGGGGCTCCAGGCGCTGAAGCCTGGGCCTGCATGCCTGTGAGCCTGAGACAGGCACTGGGCAATGGCAGGCCACGGTATAGTTGGATTAGTTAAGAGGTAGCCTTTAGGAGAAATACAGAATAAAAAAGGCTACGTAAATTTTCGCCTATTGGATTGAGTAAGGTCTGAGACTTGTTTATTCATTCTGTTGGCAAAGCTGTGGGGAAGTAGATACTCCCTGCATTGCCTGTGAGAGTACAGCTTGCCCCATGCGGGGCAGTTGGGCAATAGCTATTATAACGGTACAAATGCACATCTTTGTTGACCTAGCAATTCCAGTTCTGGAAATTTATTCTGCAGATACCTGCATACATGCAACATGATATATGTACAATGTTATTCATTCCAGTGTTGTTTGTAATGGCAGAAGAGTGATAGTATCCTAAATGTTCACTAATAAGGGAACTGGTTTAATAGGTTATGGAACAATGGGTATATTCATTTGGGTAATGCTCATTGCTGTAACACATAAACCCCAAATGTCAGTGGCTTAACACAATAGAAATTTATTTCTCTCCCACATAAAGTCCAAAAATGGGTGCCCAGGGATGGCTTAACACAATAGAAATTTATTTCTCTCCCTCATAAAGTCCAAAAATGGGTGCCCAGGGATCTAGGTTCCTTTTGTCTTATAGCTCTACCCTCTTCCACTTATGAAACCCAGCTTCACTGTGTACATTAAGCCAGGGAAAGGACTTGGAAGTTTGTACGAAAGAGTTTGTATGGACCAGGCCTGGAAGTAGAGATTTCACTTTCACTCACATTCTGTTGGCTAGAACTGAGTCACAAGGCCACATATAACTGCTGGGAAACAGAGTCTAGCGACGTGTCCAGGAAGATTTGGTGATCACTAGCTCTCTGTACCATGGTGAAATCAAATGTAGCTGTACAAAAAAGATAAGGAAGCTCTTTATGTACTAACATTATTATGCAAAAACGTAAGATACAATATCCCTTGTGTAAAAGGGAGGAAGTATATATTCATGCTTACCCATATATGTATCAGTAAGTTCTGCGAAGATACCTGAGAAACTTACCTGTTTGGGTGCAGGGAATGGCAACTATGTGGAAAGGGAATGTGGGAGGAGACTTCTCTATATATTCCTGATTTTAGAGTTATATTAAGCAATACGAATACCTGAGCAGTCACCAGCCAAGTTGCTGATCTGGAGGTGCTGAGCAAAGGAGAGTTTAAATACAAAGCTTTGGAATTGGGGAGACCAAGGGTTCAGGGCTGAGACTGGGCAGCAGAGCCTACAGAGATTTCCCAAGCCCCTTAGCTGACAGCTGCAGTGGCTCTTTATATAACTATGCCCTGAAGGCTTCTAGAAACAGCTAGAAACAGATTCGAGCAGGGCCTGCTTGAGCAAGCAACTCACTCTGTTGGATAAAAGTCAGGGCAGATCCGGAGGAAGCAGAACCTGAGTTGTTTCTCTGCAAGCAGGCCTTGCTTCATTTCAAAGTGGACGGGCAGCCGGAGCTCCCCACCCTGTCCTTGACCTGGTGCATGTGTCATCCCACTGGACCAGTTTTAAGACAGATCTAGAGGATGCAGAGAGTTCTTATTCTTAATGTGCCCTAGACTGATAGGTCAGATTGAAATCCCATAACTTTTATCTATTCACTTACTCGTAGATATTTGAATGTCTACTGTAGTCCAAGTATTGTAGGTGGTAAGATGCCAAAAATAAAGATGAAAAACATGGTTTTTAGAATTCCTGCCTGTAGAAGGCTGTTCAGTCCAGGGATTGCTGCTCTCCAGCAGGGGCAGGTTCTTTAATGTGGGGGCAGGGGTGGGGAGGCTCACCTGCTGAATTGTGCTTCTGCATCATTGTCTCGCTGTTTCTCCCTCGTGCCCCTGAAGGATTCCTAAAAGAACTCTCAGTTTCTGACTTGGCTAAGCTCTCTGCTTTCCTCAGGGCAGCATCGACATGAGCTGCGTGGCTGTAATGGGACATTCATTTGGAGGGGCCACAGCTATTCTGGCTTTGGCAAAGGAGACCCAATTTCGGTGAGTTTCCCGGTGATGCTGCTTAAGGTCCACACACCATTCATCCATTCACCAAATATTTGTTATACAAGTATTATGTGCTAGGCACTATTTTGGGGGTGGGGATTCTGTGGTGAACAAGAAAATAAAGTCTCTGATTTCATGGAATTTGTGGAAGGAAACATACTAGTAAACAAGCTAACAGGTAACCGAATCCCCAGCAAAAAGTGCAATGAAGAAAATAAAATAGGCTGACATGCTAGAGTATCTGGAGGCTTTTTTGAGAAAGTGAGATAAGCCAAGACTAAACCAGCCATATAAAGGTCTAAGGGAAGATCATTCTGGGCAGAGGGGACAGGGAATGCAAAGGCCCTGAGGTGGAAGGAAGCTTGCTGTGTCAGTGTGGGAGGAGCATAGTGACTGAAGGGGAAGAGATTAAGGACACGATCAGAGAGATAAACGGGTTAGATGGATCACAGGGCCTTTGGCCAGAGTGAGGAAGTTGGATTTTATGCTAAGTTTCATGGGAAACCAATGAAGAATTTTAAGCAGAGAAAAAAATCTTGTTTACATTTAATAAAGATCCTGCTGGCTACGGCGTGAAGAGTGGATTGTAGCAGGACAAGACTGAAAGCCAGGCGGCTAGTTAGAGGGAGGCTATTTCAGAGTCTAGGTGAGATGATGGGTTTGCATTAGGATGGAGGTAGTGGGATGGAGAGAAGTGAATGGAGTCTGAATGTGTTTTAGAATTTTCAGAACTATGTGATGTATGAGAGGAAGGAAGGAGAGGAATCAAGGTTTTTCATTTGTGGATCTACCATCTGAATGAAGTTCATCCTTAACCTAGATGGAGAAGCCTGGAGAAGCATTGGGGGTGGAGGTGAGGGTGTCCTATCCTAGGGCCTTAGTTTTGCCCTTGGTTACTGCTTGATTACTACTTGACAGACTGGCTAGATCTTTGAGTTGTGGCACCAAGGAGGCTTTCCCTGGCCTCCCCTGCCGTGTACTCTCTGGGCTCACCTTTTGCAATCAGGGTGCTAAGCTGTATTTTGTTACCTTTTCTGTTCTGCCTCCCTTCCTCAACTGGGAAGCTCCTTGAGAGCAAGAACTGTGCCATTTATCCCTGTATCTAGGGCACAGGGCTTCGCACATCATCAGTACTCAATGAATGTTGAATGAATGATTAAATGAATGAAGTGTCGTTCCGTGTAACTGAAGTCAGCTGCCTGAGAATATATCCAGAGGAAGGAAGGTCTGGTCCTTGCTCTCAGTGAGTTTAAAATCTAGAAGGATCTCTGGTGACAGGTGAAAGTAGTCTCTATCCAAGATCCTAACAGAAGGGTGTGGACTCTGGTACCTCCTTGGCTTTCTGAACCTTCAGCCCACTGAAGGAGGATCTCTACCCCTTTCCCCGCTGCCCTTACTGTTTCTGCGCGGCAGTTCCAAATGTCTGGCCCTGTTTCAGGTGTGCTGTGGCTCTGGATGCCTGGATGTTTCCTCTGGAACGTGACTTTTACCCAAGGGCCCGAGGCCCAGTATTCTTCATCAATACTGAGAAATTCCAGACAGTGGAGAGCATCAACTTGATGAGGAAGATGTGTGCCCAGCATGAGCAGTCCAGGATCATAACTGTCCTGTGAGTAACCCCAAGGTCACGACCCTAGTGTCCTCTCCATTTTCTAGCCAGCTATGGCTCCTTCAATTACTTTGGGATTATCCAGAAGCTCTGCCTATTAATGGGACACCTGGATACTTCCTGAATTTCAAAATCTTATTTTTTTTAGAATTTCATATCTGTTCTTCACTTAGTTCCACCTACCATGATTTCTTCATTAGCCTATATGACTCTGTGACAGGGTTTCTCTGCTCCTTTCTGGGAAAAGTGTACCGTGGGATTGTGTGTTGTGGAGGAAGAAGTGCAGGTCTGGGTGGGCTCCAGAGATCTCTTGCCTCATTTAGGGATTTTATTGGGTCTTTTGAAGAATGTGGATATGGTAGGTGACATTCACAAGGTAGATTTTTAGAGACCTTTATGACTGTCTAAATTCAGACAGCTTCTGGGAGCCATCTATATTCCAGCTAAGAGAAACCACATTTGCTTCACTTCCATCACCAGCACTATCAAGTAGTTTTCTTTCAGAAGCCATTCTTTCACAGAAACTTTTTGAGTAATTTTAAGAAACATACCACGCATTGGAAGTGGCCTGGAGCTCCAGGTGCAGGCTGAAGGCTCTCTGACAGGTCTCTGACTTGCTCCTGTCCTGCGCTTGAGCCTAACAACACACATGCTTCAAGGGCTCCAGGCCCCGTTTCACAAAACAGGTAACTGCACGCCACAGACCTTTGGAATCACTCAGGTAGTTGAGATGCCAAACCCACAGGCCTGGGAGGCTAGGAATCCGCCCAGTATCAGCAGCTTCTTCCCTTGCTTATCTTGGCCCCCGGCTCTCCTCCACGGGGCCAGCCCCTCCTTTTCATCTTGATTTCTTGGCAACAGAAGACTGGCTGGAAGTTTCCCCAGGCCAGATTCAGGATCCTTGTGACCCCTGGAGGAAACGGAGGTAAGAGCAGTAGGAATGGGAACACTGCGATTTAACACTGGTAGTGTATTCATTCTTACTGAGTGCTGGATACTCAACTCTCCATTATATTATTCTTTATGCCTTTTCATGTGCCTTAAAAAATACATTTTTTTAAAGTCGGGGCTTTTTTTGCGCGATAGAAAAGTTTAGCATTTAGATTTTCCTTCCCTCATTGACCTGACTAGTAATTTTAGTCATAAGTAATTTAGCCCAAAATGAGCCTAGTGAGAAGTTCACCTTTGTATTAAATGTATTTGATATCAGAGGACTTAAATTCTAATCCCAAAACCCTCTTTTACAAGCACTCACCCTCCCTTAAATTCCTTCTTCCTGTTTACTTTCTAGTCAGTTCTGAAGATGAGCTGATAGGTTTTGTGACTGTTCAGAAGTCACCAGGTAAAAGCCGTAGTGCTATGGTTTATAACAACAGGGATGGCAGGTGCTGCAGGCATTGCCCCTTGCCCCTCTCCCCACTCCAGCTAACTCAGCCTTTTCCCTGCGCTGTCAGGCATTGTGGTCCAGGAGCTGAGGCAGCTCTGAAGCCAAGCACACCTGTGTTCAAATCCTAACTCTGTCCCTTACTAGCTGTGTGACCTTGGGCAGATCATTCTCTCCTGATTCTGTCAAAGATGCTTCCCTTATAAGGGCACAGACTTCCATTATTGTGAAAATGAAACAATGCACATAAAGTACCTAGCACATAGTAGGTGCTTCACAAATATTTGTGTGCCCTCGCCTCAGACCCCTACCACTTTCTTGTTTTTCTTTTCCTCTAGTGGTTCTGTTCACCGGAGTCAGACTGACTTTGCCTTTGTGTCTGGGAATTGGCTTGGTAAGCTCTTCTCCACTCAGACCCGTGGGAGCTTGGACCCCTACGAAGGCCAGGAGATTGTGGTGCGGGCCATGTTGGCCTTCCTGCAGAAGCACCTTGGTAAGCACAGAACTGGGGCTTGTGGGGCGGTCGTGGGGTCCCTTAGATTTCCATGCACAGTGGTCTATACTGATGATTAGGGTTCAACAGGCAGGGAAGGGGCAGGAGTCTTCTAGATAGGAGGTGCCAGGGCTTGTGTGGGCCTGGTCAGTTTTGAGAAACTGTGTTTAGTGTATCTCAGGATGGTGAATCGTTGGAAGCTGAAAGTAGAGAAATGGGCAGAAACCAGATCTAGAAGCCCATGTATTTGCTGAAATAAGTTTGGATTTTCCCCCATAGGCTGAGAGAGTCCTTGGGTTCTAAGCAGGGGGATATCATGATTAGACTTGTATTTGCAGTCTGGCAGCATCCGGAGGATGGGTGAGACAGGGCAGGGTGAGAGGCAGAGAGCCCAGATAGTAGGGTCTTGAAGTATCTAAGCGATGAGAGATAAGACAGAGTCTGAAAAAAGGCACAGGCTCTCTGCTTGGGTTGATTAGCTTTGCAAAGAGAGAAAAGCTTTTTGGTGGCCACAGTACCTTGTCAATGGGGAACTAAAATAGGTGGTCGGTGGTTGATCGGAACCTCTTACCACTGCTGAAAAATACCGGAGAGCACATATTCGACTGACACCAGGGTATTGTCTTCCACTGAGAAGATTGGTGCTTCTTTCGTGATAACTATACACAGCTCCTGCCTCCACCTATTCATTCTCCTTTCTCTTCAAACCTCCAACACCTCCTCCCCTTTCCTGTCCCTCTGCGGATTCACTTTGCCCCCCATCGACCCACCTGCGTGCATACACTCCGCCTTCTGTCTGGTGACTAACGTTTCCTGCTCATTTCCCTAACTAAGGCAGCCCCTCCACCTGCACACTAGACTTCATCCCTTTTGGCCTGCTCGAGGTGGTTGTGCCAGCAATTCTTTTCTCTTTACCTCAGATTATCAATTTTCCCCTCTCTACTGGTTCATTTCAGGCTGAAATTTCTCTCTCTTTTTTTTTAATGTATCTTTATTGATTTCAGAGAGAGGAAAGGAGAGAGATAGAAACATCAATGATGAGAGAGTCGTCATTGATCGGCTGCCTCCTGCACACACCCGACCGGGAATCGAACCCCGATCACCTAGATCCCAGGTCGACGCTCAACCGCCGAGCCATGGCTGGCTGGACTGAAATTTCTCTTAAAAAATCTTTCTCTTGCCTAGCTGGGCATGGTTCAGTGGCTAAGCATCGACCTAGGATCCAGGAGATTGTGGTTCGATTCCCAGTCAGGGCACATGCCCGGGTTGTGGGCTCGATCCCCAGTCGGGGGACTGCAGGAGGCAGCCCAACAATGACGAGACGACTCTCTCATCATTGATGTTTCTATCTCTCTCTCTCCCTCTCACTTCCTCTTCCTGAAATCAATAAAGATATCTTTAGAAAACAACTCTCTCTTGACCCCATCAGTTACCACGCTGTTTCCGTTTCTCCTAACAGCAAAACTCCTCCAAAGAGTGTCTGTCTGTACGTTTTTCTGATTCTTCTCTTCCCATTATTGCTTTCTTTTTAAAAATGAGTTTTTATTGATTTTAGAGGGGGCGAGGGAGAGAAAGAAAGAGGGAAACATCGATTGGCTGCCTCCTGCGCACCCCCTACCAAGGCATGTGCCCTGACCAGGAATTGAACCAGCACCCTCGGTGCATGGGATGACACTCAACCAACAGAGCCACATGAGCCACACCGATCGGGGTTCATATCTGTTAAACCCATTCCAGTCCGGCTTTTGCATCCCAACTCTTCATGAAAACTGCTTTTGTCGGGGTTGCTAGTAACTTTCACGGTGCTAAAGCCAGTGGCCAGTTCTCATTCCTCATCCCAGTGGAACCCTCAGCAGCTTCTGACAGAGCTGATGATGCCATCCTGCCAGGACACCACACTGATTTCCGCCTGTCTCTGTGTCAGCTCCTCCTCTGTCTGCTTCGCAGCTTTCAGGGCTCAGTGCTTGGACCTCTTCTCTATCTGTATGTCCTAATGTCATCTAGTCTCATGGCTTTAGAGCCATCTCTAGGCTGGCAAGTCCCAGTTTATATCTCCAGTTTGATCTCTCCCATGAACATCAGACTTATATAACCCACTACTCAACATCTAATAAACATGACAAACAAAAGTTTCCATTGCAGTCTTTCCCTTCTCAACTAATAGTCACCCCATCCTTCTAGTTACTCAAGCCAAAGTCCTCATTCAAGTCTCTTCTCTTTCACCTCCCATCCAGTCTCTCAGAAAGTCCTATCGGCTCTACCTTCAAAGTATGTGTGGAATCTGATCACTTGTTGACACCCCACAACTACCATCCTGTGCAAGTCATCTCTCACCTAAATTAAAATTACTGTATTAGCTTCCTAACTGGTCTCCTGCCACCTGTGCTTCTCCACACAGTCTTAATAGTACAGCGAGGGGGATCCTGTTAGAAAGTAAGTCAGATCTTGTCACTCCTCTGCTCAGAATCCTCCAGTGACTCCCCATTTCTCCGAGAGTCAAAGCCAGCGTCCATTATCCTGCTAGGACAGATGACTGGTCCTCCAGTCAGCCTGTCCTGACCGCTCCTGCTCCTCTCCCCTGGCCTGCTTCACTCTCGCCACACAAGCCTCCAACACTCCAGGCACAGTCTGGCTTCAAGCCTTTGTAGTGTTCTTGCCACCACCTCGAACATTCTTCCTGTATAGTCCCATGGCTCACTCCCACCTCCTTCAAGTCTTTGCTCAGGTCTCACCTTCCCAGTGAGGCCCACCCTGACCAGCCTTTTTAAAACATTGTACCTTCCCTACCTCCCCTCACCCCCATCCCTTGGCCACCACCGCTGCTTCTCTTATCTGGCTCTTTTTTCCCCGCATAGCACTTACCTCCTTTTCATATCCTATGTAATTTATTATGTTTATTGTTATTTCTGCTTACTAGATTGTGAGCTCTATGAGGATGAGGATTCCTATTTGTTTGTGGATGGATTTTTTTGGAGCCAAGAATGGACTGTGACACATCATGGGTGTGCCCAGTATTTTTTGAATTAATGAATAAGTAGCACTCACTTGTTGAGGACCTATTCCACCCCAGGTTCTTTGCAGGGCACCGCGATCCAAAGATGAAGGAGAGTGGTCCCTGCCTTCTGTCCCAGGTTTTGTTTGTTTTGAACAAGATCATCATTTGCCAGCTCAACTGTGCCCTACTCCCTCAGCCTGAGCCGTGAACCCTTTTTGACTCTTCTTACCATGTACCATCTTCCCATGACCCCAGGACCCTCTTTTGAATCATACCCAGTGTTAACACTGTTTCATGATGTTGCCACCCTACTCCTGCACTTCACTGAGGTGCCTGGGGTTGCATTCGCTGGCTGGCTTGTGAAGGACCTTTTCTCGCTCAGCACCATCCCTGAGCCTGGAAGTAGGCTTTCCATTTTCTCACCCTTCTGACCAAGGTGTGAATTCTGTCTCTTGTCATTTACCAGCTGTAATGACACTGGACAAATCAGATAGCTTCATCGAGCCCCAGTGTCCTCAACTATAAAGTAAGGCTAATAACCATACTCAACTCATAGGGATATTGTGAAAATTAAATCAAACAGTGCATGTTCAGCACAGTTCCTACAATGAATTATTCTTCAATAAATGTTACTTTTTGTTACTATTATCATTATTGAGTTATTGTGGAGTAAGCAAGTCTTTTATGAAGCATCTTTATAAAGGGACTGAATGAATAATAGTTACCATTACTGCTGTCACCATCACAACCAGTCCTTTTAGTGTCCCAGGTACTCTTCTCTCTAGGATGCCCCACTAAGTCTATGGTAGGTACTCTTTGATCTAACCTTACAGTGATTTACCTAACCGTCCTGTTTTGTTTTGTTTTCAGACCTGAAAGAGAACTATGACCAATGGAACAACCTCATTGAAGGCATTGGACCATCGCTCACCCCAGGGGCCCCACACCATCTATCTAGCCTTTAGACACAACTGGCCATTTGTAAAAGGTCACAAATGGGAGAGAAGCTGAGCTGAATTCTAATTTGGGGTCTGCCCATAACCTCCTGTCAGGAAGTGGTCGACATGGCCCTTCACAGATCAAAAGGATATGATCACACTGCTGAATGGGTAACTGGGTAATTTGATCTTGGACTTGTTGATCTTAAATTCATGGTAGGACTTGGATCACTTACTGATCAGCACATTGACTTTCTGGGCCCTGAGCCCTGATGGTGTAGGGAAGGAGCAGTGGGGTGGGGCTGGGGAACACCCAAGCCCTAAGCCTACTCCCCCACCTTGGGCCAGTGTGGCTTCTGCAGTGGAAGAAATGAAGCCGAAGGGTGGAGTGAAAATTCCTGCCTTCAGGACCTTTAGCCCAACCTGGCTCTCTCTCTTCATACCTCTCAGCCTTCCTCCTCTCCGGGGCTACTTGGTGAGTTCTCAGCACATTAGGTAACTTTCTAGGATATGGACCACGGTCAGATTTTCTGTTTCTTTTAAGCCTTCTTTATGCATGAAACAGTACTGGGCACTTAGGACTAAGTTATCCTTGTGAGCCCATGAGGAGGTCAGACAGCATTGTCCTCAGAGCATAGGGACAGAAGCTGAGCCTCAGAAGCTCTGGATATTTTGGAGTTTTGCTAAACATGTATCTTGACACAAGTAGGTTGAGTTGGAGACGGTAGAATAACAGTGTTAAGTAGCATTTGAACAGGCCCTTGCCACAAAAGGGAGCTGGTTTGGTCAGCTCGGGTTCAGGAGACTACTCCAGGACAGGTTAGGAACACTTCAGCCCTGCCTCTTACCTCAGGTATTATGAGCCTCCAGCTTGCTCAGAATCGGGGTGCTGTAAGTTGTCTGTTTTTTGACTCTGAAGCCCTAGCCCCAAATTTAAGTCAGGATATACGTTGAATTTGTATTCTGTTCCACTTAAAATTGAATTATATTAATACTCATGTTTGCCTAATGATATGTTGGAATATTCTTTACTTAATCTGCATGAGAGCAAGATGGAGAGCCATCTGGAAGTCACTTTCCCTTCTGTCTTTCTCTGTTCACTTACCACTTTTGCCCACAAGGAAAAAAACTTTAAAAGGGAAGGAGGTCTTCCAGGGTAATCTAGTTCCAAGCTCTGTGGGAAGACCAACCTGAAGCACCCCTCTCTGCTATTCTAGACTTCTTACCTCAGTTCAGGAGGGGACCCCAGAGGAGGCCAGAACAAAAGGCAAAAGCATCTCTACTCAGTAGGTCCAAGGTCAGTGCCACCATTATAGGCTGGGACCGGGTCTCCCACCTCTCAGCAGTTGTTCTAAGAGGTGAAACATCAGATGCATGGAGGCTGTGAACCTTGGGAGGATCTATGAATTCCAATGAGACGTAGCGTAAAGAGAATCTCATTAAAGCCCTGGGCTCTAGAGTTCTATAGGCTGGTTTTGAGTCCTGGTTTCACCATGACTGGCTGGTTAAATTTGAGCAAATTATGTTCTCTTTCCAGTCTTGGTTCCTGCATTTCTAAGATGGGGATCTGCATTATGATAGGAGAATTAAGTGAGAGGATGTATGTGCGTATGGATTATTTAAAAGTATGCCTCCTACTTTCCAAATAGACAAGATTTTTCCATTTATCCTATAGCTGTTGTTTTCTAGCTTAATTGCTTTTGGCCAGAGAAAATAACCCATATGATTTTAATTCTGAAACTTGCTTGTTAGCCCAGTAGGAGGTCAATTTTGTAAATGTTCCTTATATGCTTAAAAAGACTGTATTCTGAAGTTGTTGGCTTACTGAACAACATGGTGGATTCCCTTCCATGGGGGTGCAGACAGATGTATAATAGGACCTTCCGACCCCTGCTGGGGACCGAGAGCCCCTCAGCACTCACAGAAGCAGTAGATGCCACCCCGTGTGCCTGAACTGGTTCTGCAGATGCCAAGGTTCTGGCAGCTTTAGCACATGAGACCCACCTTCTCTCTACCTTAGACCCATACATGATACAGGTGTATTTTGTAAAGACTGGGGCCTCCCTAGAGAAAGAAGTTGTTTGGAAACTGGATCTATCTCTCCTCTATTCATTTTATATTCTAGCAATGACATATTTATCCAGCAACATTAGAACAGGTGAATTTTCCCTATAATCAAAAAATTATCCTTTAAGCCGCAAAACATAACATTGACTGTTTTGAATGGCAATTTACCAAAAAAATAATGCACACACTGCTTAATGTGAACTGACTTCATTTAACTTTTGAGGATGTTTCAGTCAGGATAAACTAGGTCATATGGTAGTAGCAAGCAACCCCCAAACGCAGCAAAAGTTTATTTCTTGCCCATGCTACTTCTCCTCTGTGGGTCAGCTGGAGGCTCTGCTCTGTGTCATTTTTATCCTCACTTGGGGACTCAGGCTGGCGGAGTTGCCACGGTCTGGTATTGGAAGAGAGATGGTGAAGGTTTCTTCCCAGAAGTGACACTCATTATTTCCATCCACGTGTCATTGGCCCAGGCAAGTCATCTGGCCATACCTAACATCCCATAGCATCCCAAGAGAGCCAAAATTTCTGTGACCAGGCCTAATGACAGAGCACTGCCACCCTCTGGCCTATGAAGATATGGCGAGCTCTTTGCATCTACACTACATGACTCCCAGCAGCTGTCCTCTTAGTCTGATTGCATTTCATAGTCTGGGTTGTCTCCCTGTGGTCAGGCGGCAGCCATTAATCTTCATTGACTTTGATGTGCCAGCCCCTAACAGCTCTCCCTGTTCACTTTAGATTTATTACTTCTGATCAGCTATATTATTTCAACTGTCTGAAGTAAGGCTAGGTAGTTACTGAGAGAGGGCTTTAGAGACCCTCCTGCAACTAAAAAGCACTGCCTTTAGTGCTTAGAATTCTTTGACTGCTCAGAAAGGCTTTTGGTCCTTTGCCTTGGCTTTTGGTTAGCTTCCAGGGACTCAAGGATACCAGATAAATGGCCTTTAGATAAGCAAGATAACCCTGCATGTTAATTGTCATGTGCTGATAAACCTCATTCTAGTGCATCTTTTCCAGGAGCAAATCTGTCTTCGGTTTCTTTTGCATCTTGTTTCCATCGCATTATAGCACTGTACTCACGGGCGCCTCCTAGTGGTATATTGTGAAGTTTCTGAGTGGGGGGAATGGTGCTGTCAGTCAGGAAGGGAGGAGTCAGTACTGGATGGAATGAGATTCCTCATCCCTCCCACTTCCTGGAAACATCAGGCTGAGGCTGGATGGGTTCTCGCTATGCCCCCAACACAGACCCCAGCCCCTTTTCTGGTGTGTGTCCTGACACAGCTGCCCCCTTGCCCTTCCTCAAGAAGTCCACTGTGCTATTGAAATGTCAATTGATGGACTCTAATTTCATGTGTTGGCCATGTGGGGACCTTCATCTGCCCCCTTTTTCTTCTGGGACACCACTTACCCCTGGGCCTGCAAAGTGACAGAGGGACAGGAGAGGCCATAGTCTGTACTTGGGATCCAGTCCTTATTAGGAAGCTTACTTTTTGTCCCATCACAGCCAGATGCAAAGGCCAAGTTTCCCTGCCCATAGCTGTGTGGCAAATGATGACGATGACAATGATGACGACAGTAATGATAATCGCGGTAAAAACCAGCACTGATGTCGCCCCGATTGCGTGTCAGGGACTGTGCTCAGTGCTTTACATGCCTTATCTCATTCAATTTTTTACAGTAACCCCATGGGGTCAGGTGATATTAGCCTCATTTTGTGTAGGAGGAAACAGAGCCTTAGAGAAGTGATTTGATCAAGCTCTCACAGCAAGAATTTGGCAAAGCTGGGATTTAGGCATCAAAGTCCAAGCTCTTAGTCACTGGGCCATACTGCCTAATACACATACTTGGTTTTGCACCTCCCCCTGTCTGTCAGGGTATGAGGAATATAATTTCATGATAGATCGAGTCAAGAATGCCACATTCTGCAGCAATTTCCATGTGACTTGTATTGAGATTCAGCGATATCCTTGGGAGTATTGAGATGTGGGTGGGAGAGAGCTGAGCTTCACTGCGGACTGTGGGTCTGTTGATTTGATAGATGAGGAAAGCAGTTCAGGGATTAAAAACGTGGTCTTTGAAATCAGACAACTCCTACGCTGTTATCCCTGTGACTTTCTGCTAATTTATTCACTTACATGAACTTCAATTTTCTCATTCGTAAAATGGAAATTCTAATAGTATTCAATCTTAGAACTGTAATAAATGAAATAATGCATGGAAAGCACTTAGCACAGGGGCTATACTAAGGGGCTAGTAAACATTAACTGTTTTTACTAGTAGTGTTTTCTCTGGTCCTCCTTAGGTGCCTATAAGGTGAGGGATTAGCCCTTGTCCTCAGTGGCCCCAGATGGCCTTGGTCTCAGTCCTTATTCCAGCTCCTGTTTCAGTTACTCCTTCGCACAAAGCCCGCTGACCCACTCAGCTGCTACCGCCGTGTGAGGGTGGAGCTGGATGAGAGAGTTTTTCACTCTCTTTGCTCTCACTTCTCTGCTCCTCACATCAGACATCCAACCCCACACCACAACTCTAGCCTTGCAGGCTCTCTTCGCCGCCAGGAAAAGTCTACACACTTAGGTTCTGGTTTGGGTTTTAATTTCACACCTGATCATCCAAACACACGTGTCTGTGCACCAGATGGAAACGGAAGGCCCTAAAATGTAGAATGGGAGGCTCAGAGGAGAAGGTCTGTGTAGAGGTTGGCCAAAGCGAAGAAGACGTGGGGATAGGGAATTTGTAGTAGGGGCTAGCTGTGTTCACTCTTGTCTGAGGCGGGGATCGGGGCAAAGTACCCCAGGACCTCGGGAGAGCCTTCCCCAGGCCTGAGAATGGCCTGCAGATACATCTGCACAGCTCTCTCCCTCACTGCCGTATCTGATTTCCTGCCAATTTCTCTTGTTTCTTCCCGCTTGGTGGTTCTCACTTCCAGCTCGCCTTTCCATGTCGTTTAAGTCTAGTCCCTCCCATCAACTCACCCCTGTCGTCATTTTTACAGTCTCCTCGACTCTAATTTCCCCTTTGCTCTACATTCTGCTGCCAGATCTGCCTGAAACATCACTTTTATATCAAAATGCCAGCCTGGCAAGATGGTCTAATGGAAAGAAGACCAAACGGATTGGAGCCCTGGGTTCTTGTCTCAACTCTCACAGCCTCTCGACCTATGACCTTGTGCGTACGCCTTTCCTCTCATGACTTCAGCTTCCCGAACTAAACTGGGACGTAGGGTGGTGGTTGTTGCATTGGCTGGTCTCTAAGTCCCCTTCAGTTCTGGCATTTTATGTCCCTGTCACTGCCTTGTCAGGAATCTACAGGACTCCCCTTTTCCTGTGCAGTGGCATCTCACCCCCTCAATCTGTCTGGTGGTGCCCACTTCTGTCCCCTGCTTCCTCCCTTGCACTCTGCTTTTTCCACGGTGCCCTTAATATGCCCATCCATTCCCCACACAGACGCGCATGCCCTTTCTCGTGATCTTTTCTTGCTTGCAGGGCCTTCCCACCCTCCTATCTGTATATCCAAATACTGCTAATCCTTAGGCCCGTGTCTAGTTCCACCTCTTCTGTGAAATCCTTTTTGATTAAATTCAACTAACATTTGATCCCTTGGCCTCCTGCTCCCCAAGAGAAATATATCCTGTGCCATATTTAGTGTTGTACTTTATCCCATTATTCCAGGAGAAGGGTCTGTCTGTTGGACAGGGAGAAGCATCCTCTTGCTGACTGGTGAGGGGAACAGGGATCGCTGTCCCGCCGACCCCCACCCATGCCCCCCGTCAGCGGGTTTCTTGTTCGCCAGCCCGACTTGGGAACAGCTGGTGTTCGCCCAGCCCTCTGATGTCTCCAGCTGCTCCTGCTTCCCTTTCTTTTGGTTTTCTAAGATCTCAGCTGTGGGACCCAGGGCAGAGCCACCAACAGTGTGGCCAAGGGCAGCTGGAGCAAATGAGATACATGGACGTGTAACAGTTGAGAGCTAGAAGGGAGGCAGAACTGAGCACAAATCACGCCAGCGTTGAAAACGAGGGAAAGCAGTTTGCCAGCTTATTTTCCCATCTCGCTTTCATCTAAAAAAAGAAGCTGCTCAGAAATACAGTCCTCCTCAGCCTGCTGAGCCAGGTGGTCCCTAGATTCCTGCCAAGTGTGCATATGTAATTATTCATCTTCATGGAATCACACCCAGGGCTGAATCTAGACACTGACACTTTTTTGCCATTTGATCTGGAACCAGTGAACCCTCTGAGCCTATTTCTTTTTCTGTAAAATGGGGTCACTAATCTCTGCCTTGCCCCCTCAGTGTTTGGAGGGGTTCCATGTGAGATGTAAGAGTGCTTCGTAACTTATAAAGCACTGGGCAAATATATGTTGCTATTAATAGTAAATGTGCCATATTTTATTTTTGCTATAGCGTGCTACTAAACGAGCATGTATTCTGTGCCAAGTACTGTGCTAAGTGCTTTACATACATTAAATACATTTAATCCTAACAACATGCCTGTGAGATAATGTGTTATCCCCTTTCAACAGATCAGGAAAGTGAGCCTCAGAAAGATTGGTGCTGGGGCCAGGATTTGAAGTTAAACTGTTCATTCCTATCTCACAAAAAGAAAATGGCTCTTTACCCTCTTTAAGCTAAAATAACCCACAATTTAAAATTTTTTTTAAATCCTCACTCGAGGATGTTTTTTCCACTGTTTTTCAGAGTGGAAGGGAAAGAGAGAAAGAGAAAGAGAGAGAGAGACTGATTGGTTGCCTCCCACTTGCACCCCGACCAGGGCCGGGGATCGATCCTGCAACCGAGGTACGTGCCCTTGGCCGGAACTGAGCCCGGGACCCTGCGGTCCGCGGGCTGACCCTAACCACTGAGCCAAACTGGCGAGGGCAGCAACCCACAGTTTGATCTCCAGTAAATGCTCTACGCAGTTGGGTCATACAAAGAGCCATTTTTATTGAAGACATGATTGAGACCTGACAGTACACCCTGAATTGCTTTTCTGCCAGGAGAGATGGGCTGGCTCCATCCATCCATCTATCCATCCATCCACCCACCCACCTACCTACCTCACATAACGTTAACAGTTCAGGCAAACAATCCATTAGTTCTGTATTGTATAAACCATGGAGCAAATCCACTGGCAGAATTCTTTTTTAAAATCTTTAACCCACATATTATAAATTAGTGATTCTCAGCTCTAGATGCATATCAGAATCACTTTGAAACTAAGTAAAAATACACATGTCCTACCCTGGCCAGGTAACTCAGAGCATCGTCCTGATACGCCAAGGTTTCAGGTTCGATCCCCAGTCAGGGCACATACAAGAATCAACCAATGAATTCATAAATAAGTGGAACAATAAATCAATGTTTCTCTCTTTCCCTCCCTCCCTCCCTCCCTCCCTCCCT